ACTAATCTTTTTATATTTCAGTTTATATTTTGGATCAACAGAATTATCCATTATCGATTCAATTAGTAAATGAGCTTGACTTTCACAGTAAATATTAAGAAACTTTCACTTCGTTATATACTCCCTCCGTTCCTTAAAATACATATTCTAGAAAAAAAATTTATTTTTAAAAGATCCATTTTTTACATTTTCAATGCATGTTTTATTAACTAATTATAAACTTCAAAAAACTTAATTGCACTAATTGATTTTTTATTATTTTAGAATTATAGAAAGAAGATAAATATAAAAAACAATGCAAATTTATTGTGTTTTATTAAAAAATATGAAAAAACTAGAATATGGATCTTTTAGGAACAGAGGGAGTAATAGATATCTTCTCTTTTTTTGATCAATATAATAGATATCTTTTAAGAAATGACTTTCTATATTAAACAATATGTCATTATTTTGTTACAAATATTGTTTGGAACTTTTTGTGTTTATGATTATGTAAAGTACAGATATGATATAATATTGTGATATTTTTTAGATACTGGAGCTTCTCTTGAATTTACCTGATAATCATGGTGATGATCGACAAAGTAGCCATTACTGAGTAATTAAAGCAAATTGGAACGACCTTCGATATTAAACGGATCAAATCGTGGGATTGTCACGTGAATCTACGTTGAAGATGTCGACTGAATGAATGTAAGTGAAAAAATGCAAACAGTGAACGTCAAGTCTTCAACTAATTGTGGACGAAAAACAGTAGGCTCAATTTGATTAAATCACTCCTGCAATAAATGTATTTTCTGATGTAATGCATTCAGTCATACATACTTCATGGAGTGCGTATGTTGGTTCACCATGGGTTTGACTGAGAGAAAAACTAAGAGTAAATAATTCAGGAAAAAACTTGGTTACTCTTTTTATTCTGAAAAGTAACCTATCGGATAAACTATCACTATTTTCTTAATCTATTTTATTAAACATATATATTATGTTGCACCTAAATTTTATTTTATAAAATTTTAAATCTATCTTATTAAAACAGAAACATTGTATTGGACTTAACTTTTGTTCTATAATTTTTAAATTAAATATATTTTTGTACTTTGTGGTTAAACCTACATTAAATCACTAATATTATTTTTTATAATATTATTTATGTTTCCAAACAATATATTTCTTTCTTTATACTACTATCAGTATTTCTAAACAATACTATAGTTAATTTTGTATCCAAACAATATAAAATAAATAATTAATTTTTTTAATAATTTCTGACAATTTAAACAATACCATAGTTTCTTTTTAATAATTTTTAAAATTTAAACAGCACCATAGTTAATCTTTTTAATAATTTCTAACAATTTTTTTCACATTATTTAGATAAATTAAATATTTTAAAAACTCAAATAATTTATAAAATAACAAAAATAAATATACCTTAATTTACAGATTTAAATACTGTATATCGGTTATCCATCGGCCAATCGGTTGGTCTCAGTGTTTAGTGTTTTTTGAAACAATAATATTTTTAAAAATTTAAATCGAATTATCGGATCACTGGATTAACAAGTTAAATTGAAGGTTTAGATTGACTTTAAAAATACTGAGTTAAAGGCAAAACAAATTTAAATGCATATTTTTTTTTTCAAACTGACTAATATTTGTTAATTATTAATGAATTTTTCATCATAAAATATTTTTACGTTTGTAAAACGTAAATCAAAATCTAGTTATTGTTAAAATAAAGACACTACGATTTTACTTTAATTCAAACAAGAATAAATAGATTTTGTTTTTACTTTACTCTCTTTCCCATTTTTATTTTTTCTCTCACTTTAACTTTATTTTTTTCTCATTAATCTAAATTTCCCAGTCACCACCATACCTTTGCATTCGTCTTTTTCTTACTCACCCATATGTAGGTAAAGGTATAACTAACAGCATATGCGAAAATACTAACCTTAATATTTGAAACCGTACTTTTCTTTTATGTTTTAAGAGAAACAATGAAAAACATTTACTCTGCATGTCAAGATCGTCGCAGTGAAAAGGGTTCTGTTGTTTCAGACCAACACAATATATATTTGTTGGCAGATGTGTCTGCTTCTTTGACTGGTTCATTTCATATCCTATTTTAAGTGATAAGTAAATATATGCATAATAAAATATAAAATGTCATGATATATATTATAAATTAGGGTCGTTGTGTGTCGATTAAAGTCAAACAGCGAGTGTTTATTTGTTGGTGCCGTCAGCTTTCTCCGTAATTTCATGGACTTGTGGTCTAAGAAAAATTCGATCCCATAATTTCTTCTATACCAGTTTACTTTGCTATTTTTTCTTTTGAAAAAAATTAAACCTTATTTATGCACAACAATATATTCTAGTATTAATGGGGTTGACAAAGAATATACAACTTAACTATATCTTTATGGACAAATATCAATTTAGTTTAGGTTTTTGCAATTTTATCAGAAACTTTTACCGTGAAGATTAGTTTGATACAGTTTCTTTTTTTTTTTTTTTTTTTTTTAGTTTGATACAGTTTCGATTGTATTACGTGGAATATGGTGGTTCAAACACATGATATTGTGAAATGGTGAACACAAAAAGTAATAGAATTTAAAAAGAGAGATCCACTGCATGTATAGATACATAAGACTACATTCATCACGGAGAACGTAAACAAAAGTGAGATCTTAGATTATAATAAACATATAACACAACATATTATATGTTTCGAGTGCTACACGTGTCCCCACACGTGTTCAAAACTTGTTCGACCTCATGCTCCATAGACATTTCTAGACTGCATCTGGACTAAGAGGACTCTAGGTCTTTATGCAAGCGACTCATATGCTGTTTTGCCTGCCTCTTCGAACTCCCATTGTGACTCTCTAGCATTTTTAAATATTATAAACGCTATATAGTTAATAGTTAATTTGAATGAAATCTTTGTTTCTTTGTAAGTTTAGAGGAAGACACGTGACACTGAGAAAACTCGCCACGAAGAGGAGAAGCAGCTAATGAATCTAGACTTCCAATGTCCTGGGAACTTGGGTTTCTCCTGGATCAACACGACAACAGTTTATATGATATTCAGACAAGTATGTTTCAAACAAAAGCTAACAGTTTAATTTAATGATTCGAACATCCAACGTAAATAAACTGTGTTCCTAACGAAAATATAGAAAATGGTGACATTCTCTAAATATTTTGCATAGGTAGACATCAAAGTTCAAAATATCTATCAAAAATATACTTGGTGATTGTTGATCTGAAGATGATAAATGTGCTAGTGTTTATTTGAAGACGATAAATGTACTAGTTCTTAATTTCTCAACAAAAAAATGTTATCCAATAAAATTTTAGGCAGACAAACTTCTAGACATACGTTGTTGACATAATAAAATACTCGTCTGTTTGTAAAACAATATGTCAGAAAATATGACAACAGATAATAGAAAATAAAGATATGAAAGATTTTGCGGTTTGGCCTTTGCTAAAAGGTCGGGCTAGAGAGCTCTCGCTGTCTTCTATGAACGAAGAAGAGACACAAATTTATACTTTTTAATTGTAAGCTAGGGTTACATATATATGCATAAGTGCTACGTGTATCTTTTAAGGTCACACACATATATATCCAGACCTTATACTATCATATAAAATTATAAAGCGAACACACAACTCATATTAGGTTTTGATTTAAAATAGAGGATTGCGTTATATGTGGCGAATGGAATGTGTTCTCGTGGCAGGAAATCAAATGTGAGGTCTTAAACTCAAAGCATATTTCTATATGAACCATCTCCCCCCCCCCCCCTGGTCTCACGTATGCTCCCCATTTGCTTCAAACTTTTTTCTTTTTCTATATTAATTAAATAGATTTACACTTAACTAATAAAGTGGCATGAAATATATGTTTGAAAAGTATGTCGACGACATGCATGTAAAATTGACCAACCATGCCTTTTTGATAACTGAAGAATCGCATATTAAAATCACAACTAAACTTAGAAATCTATAATGTTATAAGTGTTATTGGTAAAATATATCTATAAAATCCAACTTTTTTTGTCGAGTCTATAAAATCCAACTACACATAAACAACGGACCAAATTCATCGAAAATCTGCCAAAATATCTTGGAAAATTACTAAGTGGTTTTAACTTCATTTGAATCTTAAAATGAAACCTCTTACAATTCCAAAACATGTATGCATTATTTGAAAATAAAAATCTTATTAACAAATAAAAGTCAATAATTGTACAAAATACATTTCACCGGACAATCTAAAGAAAGACTAAAGTGGAATATTGCCAAAAATTATGTACTTTATACATAGACATAGCACATATAGTCCTGTTCGTATTTCGTATTTCTCTTCATTTTTTTTTGATAAATAGGTCCTCTTCATTTCTTTTTGTTAACCAAAAAGTGGTTTCGCTTCTTAGCCGAGAATTCAAGCATTGTAAATAGTCTCTCCTAACGTAAATTGAATCCAAGTGGCGGAAGTTACAGCCGCAACCCCTTTATCACTAGACCAATCCAATCATTTTTTTTGGATAAATCCTCTTCATTTTTTTCGTATTTTTCATTTTCTTTTCTCTTTTATTTTTCATTAATCTAGTTTCTCTTTTGTTACCCGATATCCGACGAGACATTTTAATATGTAGATTATTATTTCGGATTCGTAATTCAAGATGACAAATCGGGAACGACTTTGGCTAAGATTTGATATGACCGAAAATACCAAATCATGCAGTCATGCAGACATAAACGGGGAGGAAACAAAACAAAAACTTCGTACATGGTGAGAGGGTGTGCCTAAATTTGGGTGTGGTTTAATGGGCCTTTTAGCCCAAAATGTTTCAATCAGGATACAAAACATGTCCTCAACATATAATGTATGTGAAGAAATTAATTTTTTTTTCTTGTCAACGGATTTCACTAAGACTTAAAACGATCAAGTAATTATATAGTTTTTACGATCATTTTGTTGCTTACTTAGCAAGAAGGTCAACATGTGTTAGAAACTCTCTTGATACATTGTGAAAAGTATGACTTTCATTCTTCGATGTCTCTAACACCTGTAACACCAAAGCTGCATCAGTGGTACAGACCATTCGGATGGTTCGATCAGCCAAGTGCTGATTTAACTCATCTATCATGCTTTTCAAGTCTGACATGAATGCAAAATCCTTATAGTTGAGCCTTTTCATCTGTGTCACCGCTGCTAACAAGACTATAGCCTCTGCTTCAACTACTAAGTTTGCAGGCTTCAAAGAGGATGACCCTTGAATAATTTGGTTTCCTTCTTTGCAATATAAGGACCAACCAAACCCCATGGGTTCCTTTGACGATTTCCATGATGCATCAACTAAGCAATAGTATGATGCATTGGTCGGCATAACTTGTTGAATAGTAGGTCTACTTCTTGTGGTTGCTAGCCGCATACTATTTTCCTCTTTGTCTTTGTTCAATTGCTTCCTTCCATTGATTAGAATCTGTAACTGCACCATTTATCACCTGAATGATATGATCTCTTCGCTGGTGGAAAACAAGATTGTCCTCATCTTCTATATTCTCCACCGCATAAAGAAATTTAGCAGCTCATTCTTATCTTCATATTGAGCTTGTATCAATTCAGTTACCATGTTGATAATATCATCCCCACTGTCCTTTCTAACTTTAAAAGCTGATGGTGCTAGCTGCCAAACTTCCTTCGTCATTCTGCACGTGAAAAAAGATGAGTCTGTGTTTTCTGATATTCTCCACACATTGGACACAGAGTATCCACCTTTATTCTTCTTTTGGTCATATTTACTGGTGTTAGGAGTTTTCAAGGCTCCTAAGACAAATGTTGTAGCATAAGAGATTATCGAACCAGTTCTGAGGGATATCAAAGCACCGATAATGCAAGTACTAACTTAATCTAAGTGAAACCAATGATTTAGATGATTTTAAACTACTACTAATACTAGAAAGGAATAACAAAATGATACTTTCTTGACTAAGGGAAAAGAGAACTCATGGGCATAGGGATTAGACCTTGCGTGATCAAGTTTCAAACTAAGGATGGCAAATGATCAATCAAAATATCGAACTTAAGCCTATACACAATTCTAAACAAGCTCTATGTCTAGATGAATGCTCATTTGCTAACATATCTCAAACATCAAATGTCTTTGGTTGAATAATATGAAAACAATAATTACTAACAAGTCTATTAGCTATCTTAGCACCTTTAACCACAAATATCTTTGGTAAATTATACTAAAAGCCTAGGAGAGTTGTCTCAGACATTTCACCAAACACCTTTTGGGTGGGAAATGCCTATTGATCAACTTTTGAGTGGCCAACTCAGAAGATGCATTATGAATACTCTACTAACAAGAAACAAGAATGATCTACACTAAAACAACCTAGAACTATCCTAATCACCCTTAATCTCCCTAACCCATGAATTCAAAAAGTGATTACTCACTAAATCTCCATGGTTCCTCTTAAACCCATATTGGATTTCAGATTAATCATGTAGAGAAATAGATAAGAAATCAACAAGAACACAAGATGAAAGCAATGAAATCTCAATAAAAAGAAGTTTTACTAGTTGTTTTCTAGAAAAGAGATAATCTGCCTCCTAGGCTACAAAAGGGTACTTAAACTTAGGTTTAGAAAGTGTCAAAACATAAAGCAAATGACCAAAAGGTCCCAAAATAAAACAAGTTTTTCGTACACAAAAGGCACACAGCGACCTGGCCGCGTCACTCTAGGAGGTCGCTCCAGGGCTGGAGCGACTTGGCCAGGTCGATCCCAGACCTCGCTCCCAAGCCATCTTCTGCTTCTCGTCGTGATGAAAAAGCGAACGGCTCATATGTGTCGCTCCACACGTCGCTCTGAGTTGGGAGCGACCTTCAGGTATCGCTCTGACTGGTCGCTCTATGGATATGATATCCTGACTTAACACTGTATTCTCCCTTCTTTGAATAACTCCATATTAGCTTATCTGAAGCCTTTGAATTGATTTGTCTGATATTAAATATGTATGATGCATCTTCTGGCTGGCAGAGTAAAAATATTAGTGGAGTGTTCCACTTTTTTGTGCCTGGTACGAAGAGATCTTTAACCTTAAGTCCAGGGTGAGTTTGAGCTCCTTACCCAGTCGCTGGAACTGATGGACCTCTACAGAGCCAATTATCTTCCCCTACTCTAATGTTTTCTCCATCTGCAACTAGCCATTTGAGTCCTTTTTAGTACATCTTGCGTTTGCACAATGCTTTTCTAAAGCTTGATGTACTGTAACTACTGGCCTTCATGAAATCAGTATGCCTAAAATATTTGACTTTCAATACTCTAGCTAGCAAAGAGCAAGGATTCATCAGTATTCTCCATCCTTTCTTTGCTAACAACGCTTTATTGAAAAGCTCCTTATCCTTTAATCCTAAACCGCCTTCCTTTTATGAGGTTGTGATCTTGTTTCAGCTGATCCAAGGGAATTTATGTTTGTCTTTGGTTGATGACCACCAAAAGTTTCTCATACAAGCTGTGATCTCTTTTATCAGTTTCTTTGGAAGTAGAAAACAAGACATGGTATATATATGTGGGAAGTGCTGAGATTACACCCTTTAGCATAATTTATTTTCCTGCTGGAGATAAGAATTTGTTGTACCAGCTATCTATCCTGTTATTAATTCTCTGCTTGAGATATTCAAAAGCTTCTTTCCTTCTCCTACCTATTCTCTCCGGCAATCCTAGATATTTTCCAAACCCTCCAATTCTAGTTTTACCCATTCTCTTCATTAAGCTATCTTGGAGGGATGAGGGAATACCTTTTGAGAAGGTAATAGCAGACTTAGCGTAGTTCACCTCATGCCCTGAAGCCTTAGGATATGTATTGAGAACTTTCATGAACTTTTGACATTCCTCCTCCGTGGCTCTGCAAAATACCAAAGAATCATCAGCAAATAGCAAATGTGATATCATAGGTCCTCCTCTTGAAGCTTTGTAACCATGCATTTGCTCTCTTTGAATGCATCACTTCAGAAGTCTTGATAATCCCTCCGTGCGAAGAAGATACAGATACATCAAAATTGGACCCCCTTGGTGAATGCCTCTTGTAGAGCATATGGTTTGAGATGGCTCTCCATTCAATAAAAATGAATATGTAACCGTTGATAAGCACTTATAAAATCCAATTACACCAGACATCAGCAAATCCCATTCTTTGCATAACTATATCAAGAAACTTCCACTCCACTTTGTCAAAAGCCTTGGTAATATCAAACTTCACTGCCATGTATTTCGTTTTCAAACTCTTTGTGAAAGAATGCATAAGCTCATGTGGAACTATGACATTATCAGTTATAAACCTACCCGGTACAAATGCAGTTTGATTCTCTAATATAATCCTATGCAACCAGGGTTTCATTCTCTCAGCTAAAATCTTTGATATTATCTTATATGCTACATTAGAGAGGCTGATAGGTCTATAATCTTTAATTGTGCTTGGCGAATCTATCTTAGGTATAAGACAGATGTGAGTTTTATTGATGGTAGGATTAAGGTGATTATTCTGGATAAACATTTTGACATGAGAGAACACACCTTCTTTAATTATGCTCCAGTGATGTCTAAAAAACCTGCACTCATACCATCTGGACCAGGTGCCTTATCCGGAATGATAACAAAAGCTGCTTCTTCTATCTATTGTTCCGTGACTTCCTTGGTGATGCTCCTATTAATTTCAGAGGTTACCAAAGTAGGAATTCCTTCAAGAAGATCCTGGGAAACATCACATCCATTACTTGTATAAAGAGATTGAAAGTACCTCTTTACTTGCGCTTGTATATCCTTCACATCAGTATGAACATTCCCATTTTCATCCGTGATGTGAAGGATTCTATTATAGCTTCTTCTTTGCTTTGTCTTCATATGGAAGAATTTTGTATTTTTATCTCCTGTTCTCAGCCATTGGATTCTACTCTTGGTTATCCAGTATTTTTCTTCCAACCTATACTGCAGGCTTAACTCAATTTTCAGCATATTGATATAAGCATAATCAACACTCTATTTTTTGTAAGCTTGCTGAATTTATTCTTTTAATCTATGTATTTTATTTTCTGAACTAGTATGATTTTTACTTCTCCATTTAGATAATTCCTTTCTACATTTTTCTATGATCTTGTGAAAATTACCCGAAGAAATGTTTTTGCACTCCTGGTTCCAGACATCTTGTATGTCTCTTCTTACTTCAGGTTTAAACCTCCATCTGTTATCATACCTAAATAGTCCTTTCCTGTTACACTTAATATCATCAGTACACACGATGATGGGTCTATGATCAGACCAAATCCATGGCAGCAATCTGACATGTGCAGCTGGGTACAGGTCCAACCAGTCACAATTTTCCATTGCCCTATCTATCTTAGATTTAATAGTATAAGAGGATCTATTTCCTGTCCAAGTATAAGATCCTCCTATATTTTTTAAAATCTGCATACCAGTTACTGCAATCATTGATCTAAACTGGGAACATGAAGCTTCTGACCTTTGAACTCCGCCTTCTTTTTCACGATTCCCCTTGTGTCATTAAAATCGCCCATCATTAATCTAGGCTTTCCTTGATATAAACCTGCAGCTGAATTATACATAATATGTTCCCATTGAGTATGTTTGTATTTTAACACTGGGGTTCCATATATATAACTCATCCAAAATACATTACAATCATCTTGAACACACATTTGTTTGATACAATGACGGGTTCCCCAAAAAACTAACACTAACCCTGTCATTCCATAAGATGGCTACCCCTCCTCCACATCTACTAGCTGACGCCACAAAAGAGTGTTCATACCCTAGGTCTTTTAACATACTATTTACAACTATCGACATTCTTTGTTTTTACGAGAAGCATTATATTAGGTTTTAAGTTTTTTACTGATATCAATTAGATGGGAAATTGTCAGGGGGCTGCCCAGACTCTGACAATTCCGATGCAAAATCCTCATGGTTGACGTGGTGGTTTGAGGCGAACTACCAAACCTTGATTTTCTTCAAATTTAGGTTGATCAAACTCAATTCGTTTATCTGCCTTCATCACCTTAATCCCTGCTGGGTTCTGATGATAAGGGTTAAGACCTTTCGCCACCAAACATGTCGAATGATCCTTCTCGAACTCCTTCTGAACATCATCATGAAACGACCACCGACTTTTGTCAGCTCCTAGCTTCAAATCTTGCAGAGCTTTCCAGATCTCGTATAATCCATCTGTTGGTACATATCTTGACTGAGATCCGTATTCTCATCACCTGATTGCAGGATTGATTTATCAGATTTGATCGATTTTGATTTTAGGTTTTTCTCCGAGAGAAATATATAACAATCGCCTTGCGAAGAGAGAATTTTCTTTTTATGTGGAGAAACTAATAGAATATCCGAATTTATTTTCTAATCAAATCAGTGAACACAGCAAAAAAAAATGATGGGTTAAGGCAAAATTTTTAATTATCGACAATAG